TACTCGGGTTCGAATCCTGCCAATGACATCTCTCTAAATCTAATAATAATTCAAAGTTATAAAAATATAATATGAAGAAATAATAAGAATATAAAGAGGAGGGGTTCTATAAAAAAATGCTATAAATAAGTAAATTTTTTAATAAGTAATAAAATTATTACCGACGGATTTTGACCGTCAGGAATTTTAATATTTCTTGTAGTGTAATGACAATACATGGTCTCTATCACTAGTACAAGAAAGATTTTTTATGATAGTTTTTTTAGACTTTCTATATCGATTGTAGAACTGACATAGATCCAGACGATGTAGTAAGTATTTATTATGTCGATTCTTAATATAACCATCATGGAAAGTCTCGTGTTAATTTTCTTTTATATAGTCAAATTTCTCACAAACATTTTACCAAATAGTTTCAATACAACAAATTTCAAAAATTAAACACAAGGATTATCTACATACGAAAAAATAATTAAACATAAAATGTAGACAATTTCCCTTAAGTTGGATGAAAAATCATTCATGAAATTAAAAAATTTATAATAACAATTTCAATCTAACATATATTAAAACACTCCATTAAACCAAATCATGAAATATAAACTAATACATAAAAAATGAGACAATAATTTCATATATTACCTTTTTGTAAATGAGGAAGGAGTAAGATTGTAGAAAGTGGTGATACAAGTATGAGAAAGACAAAAGTTGATGAATGTGATAAGAAAATAATGAAACAAAAGAAAGAAGAAGTTGAGTGGAGTTCTCTGACGTGTAAGAGAAAAAAACAAAAAATGAGGAAGATGAATATGATAAAATGAATTTGAAATATTTAAATCTAGAAACTTCTTATGACGACTCGATTTTGAACTGTCATAGTAAGTATTTTTTATGTCGGTTTAATTTTGAATCGTCATGATGGTTCAATTTTTAACCGACATAAAAAGTGTCTTATATTTAAAATTGACAAAGTCACTTTTAATGTTAGTTTAAAATTAAATTGTCATAATAAATATTTACTATGACGGTTCAAAATTGAAACGACATAAAAAGTGTCAAAGTTTACATTTACAAAATCATTACTTTGGCGATTCAAAATTGAACCGATATATAATGTACTTACTATGATGGTTCAATTTTGAACCAATATAGAAAATATTTTTTATGTTGGTTTAAAATTGAACCGTCATAAAAAGTAAGTTTTAATTACAAAATTGTTATCGCCTAACTTATTATGACGAGTGAATTAGAATTGTCCTAAAATGTTATTTTTGTTTTAGAGTATGATGAGATTGCATATAACTTTAAATTAATATATCAATTTCATAAGAAATTAATCTCTTAGTTATTTAGAGTTAAATTAAAGCATTATCCATCAAATTTTCATAAATTATATACTTAGATTAAGGTTCATAAATGGATAATAAAAGTCAGATATAAAAAGACTATCTTGTTTATAGATAGTTATTTCATGTTTAAACTAGAACTTATGAACGATATTATTCTAACTATAAATTTTCTTCAAGTAAGTCCACAAATTTATTGTAGTTCTATAAGGATGAAGATTATCAATAGTTTGTTGATCTAACAAAACTTAGGATCTAAGTTATGTCTTGAGCATTGCAAACTTTATATTTTGACATATTAAACTAGGTGATCATCTTTATTAGGAGCAAAAGTGCTACTATCAACATGATCGCACAAATCTTTATCTTTGAAAAATATCTAGAATTAAATATTTTTTATCAATAAGGTGTATAAGTAATATATTGTAATTTTAGATTGATATTATTCTAGGATAAAAATAACAAGAGATGCTTTAGACTAGGAAAAAAAGTTAATCAGAACTAGAAAAAATAACTCAAGATGATACCTTGGACTAAGAAACAAATCATGAAAAAAATAAAATATTAAAATTGTAACTTTGGTTATTCTTATGTTAAATTATAAATAAAGATAAAAAAAACAACTTTCTAAAACTCAAAAAAAAATGACAAGTAATCTTATTAAAGAATTCTGATATAAATATTATTTAATAATAAATTATCATTTTAATTCAATTTACTAAAATAATAAAATTATATATATATATATATATATATATAATATTTTTTAATTAAATTAATAATTATTTATCTACCATTCAAATATAAAATATTTATTTATAAGGACGAAGATGAGACTTTCTCGTCCTATTTTCTTATTTTTCTTCTTTCATGTCAATAAAGTATTATTATTATTATTATTATTATTATTAATATTTATATTTGATATATATATATATATATATATATATATATATATATATATATATATTCTTTTTAAATTCCATGTCTTGTAACTACAACTAAAATTTTTGTTTGATCCATATTTGACACATTTCACTTTTAGCCTTTTATTTTACATGTATTTATGACAATATTTGTTACTTTTAAAACATACAGCGTGTAGTCCTTCACACTCCATTTTAATAATATATGATTTTAAACATTTATTGAAAATATCAATTTTTCTTTATTGATTGATTTCCATACAAGTTGTAGCAAGTTCTCACCTGATTGAATCAATGTTAATTTATCAATTTTTAACGAGGATCCAATCTAATTTGTTACTCTCGATAAGATCTGAACATTATAAAGCTTAATAGATAATCTTGATATCATTTTCTAAATCGTCATTTTGCTCCTTTGCTTTCCAATATATCCTTAAGAACAATTTCCACTTTTGTACCACAATATAATGATACATGTCATCATTTATGGTCATTCAAACAGAACGCATATATATAATTATCCTCCTTTGCATGTTATATTAAAAAGAAAAAAATCATTTGACATGTTTATAATACATTCAACGATTGCTTTGGGTCATCCCATATGAATTTCATTTTCAATAATCTCGAATGTAAATCTATTTCTCAAGAATATTGATCACTAACATATTTTTCAAGGGAACACACCATTCCTAAATTCAACTTAAGTCACTTAAATAGTCATGAAGCAAATTCTTTATCATCATTGTCATTTGGATCTTGTTTTTCTTTGAAGAGTTCTTTTTTCAACAACTCTATTTCTTTAATTATTCTATTTGAAGAAAGGAAGGATCCAGCAAATAATCATTCTTTCTTTTAATCATTGAATATCTCTTTGATTGATTAATCATCAAACTATAATATGAAAAAAACCTTCATTCTACCCTTTCACAAATGTGTATATGATTTTGAAGAGTGTCTATTTTCCTTCTTTGTTAGTCTACCCCCAACTCAACTATATATGAATTTCCTTTTTTATTCTTAACCTTATTTGTATTTCATTAAATACGATAATCTTTTATACATTTATCTGGCACACCTAATTATTAACTTTCAACTTAAACATTTTCTTTTTACTTAATGTGAATAAAATTATATAATTATTATTGATTATTTCAAACAAAAAATTACCTGTTTAGCACTTCAAAAATAAAAAGTAAAAAAAAAACACATGCATTTTAATTTTTCGGTTTATTTCACTTTAATTTTCATATTATTTTCTTCCCATTTAACTTTTTTATCAATCAATAAATATTTTTATTAAACGACTTTTGATAATACCATATCTGATAAAAAAATGGTATTTTAGTTCCTAAAATATTGTTCTTAAATTAATCTTATATTTTATATCTTTTTAAATTTTTCTTAAATCAATATTATATATAATATATTTTTAAAAATTATCAATTTTTGTATGATTTGTTAATAATTTTTATATAATTTTTCTTTTTTTTTCTCTCATTTTTTTCTTTTTCAATTCATGTTCTTTTTTTTCTTTTACTTGTTTTTCTAATAAAAGAAATACTAAATTAAAATTTAATAGTATTATGTTATAGTAATTTTTATAAAAATATATCAATTAAAGTTATTATGATGATAGTAATTTTTTAAAAAACATATCAATTAATTATTTAAAGTGACGATAATGATAATAAATAATTTTATTACGACGATAATAAATAATTAATTTAAAATTAATTTATTGTAATAAATTAATTATTTAATTAAAAATATTAAATATTTATAAATTGAATTTATTTTTTATTTATTAATTTAATTTAGTTATAATTAGGTTAAATTATAATAATTAAATAATTTTAATTTTTTTATTAAAAAATTATTTTAAAATAATTATAGAATGTTTTTTTTGAATTATAACATGTAAAATATTTATAATATCTCAAAATTTATTATAAAATATTTTTTAAATATAATATAATATATTATAATATTTTTAAATAATTTAAATGTTTTTATTGGTTTAAAAATAATAAAGACATATACTATCAAACTTTAATATAATATTTTTCTAATATAATGTATTATATTATAATATTTTTAAATAGTTTAAATATTTTTATTTGTTTAGAAATAATAAAAAACATATTCTATCAAATTTTAATATAATATTTTTCATTAGAAAATAAAATAGAGATCTGAGATAAAAAATAAAAAAAGGTAAAACAACTAATGAAAAGAGAAAAAAACTGTATAAAACAAGAGAAAAAATGAGGATTATTTTTGCTGGTATAATTGTAATTACATTTAATCAGTTTTTAAAATCAATCCATGATATTTTTGCTAAATAAATAATCTACAAAAATGTAGGTTTAATCATTATGCTAGGTATGGTGTTATTACTTTAAGAACTATCTAGGAAAACTCTTAAAAAAAAAAAAAAAAAAAAAGAGAGCTAGGAATCTATGAAAAAAGATAATTAAATTGATCTCACTCTGAAATTTAAATTGATGGTTTGGGAACTCCAAGGAAGTTATAAATTCCAGGTGCCTTGATCAATTGTCCAAAAACATACAGTTGAGGCCGCACCGCACCGCAACACCTCTCAACTTTCTCGTCTGTTTGTTGCTTTCCTGCAATGGTAGGCCCCTTCAGCGCCGGCGATCGCAAGGTAGTTAGAATCGCTGTCGCAGGCGACGGTGGAACTGGAAAATCCACACTCATAGCCGCAATGGCGTTGGAGTCTTTCCCCAAGTCTGTTCCGCCCGTGCTCCCACCCACTCGCTTGCCCCATAATCTCTACCCCGATGCCGTTCCTCTTACCCTCATTGACACACCTTCCAGGTCTCTGCCACACTCGCATTCCTTTTCCACGCCATCACCATTCAATTCAAGCAAAACAAAAAGACTAATAGTAATAATACTCTTGTAAAGTAATTGGTTAATCAGACATAACCCTAGATTTACGTGAAAGGAATTCCATTCGATTTTCATAACCTAAATTTTAAATATGAATTTTCTCGTTTCTATTGACACTTCTGTCGGGACGTGTGATTTGTATTGTTTTAGCCTGGGAAAGCAAGGCGCGCGCAATGCAGAATTGAAGCGAGCTGATGCGGTGGTTTTAACCTATGCTTGCAATGAGCCGTTGAGCTTTGAGCGTTTGAGTACATACTGGCTCCCTGAACTGCAGAAGTTGGAGGTTTGTTTTGCTTCTTTTAGTTACTGACAATTTTTCTGTTTAGAAATGAAGTGTGAATTGAACGGGAAGCTAATGGGTTCCTTCTTTCTATCGTTTATCATGATGCAGGTGAAGGCACCAGTGATTGTGGTTGGTTGCAAGCTTGACCTGCGGAATGAAAACCAGCTAGTGAGTTTGGAGAGTCTCACCACAAATATCATGCAACATTTCACTGAAATTGTCACTTGTGTTGAATGCTCTGCTGCTACACTTTATCAGGTATGTTGTTTTGCTGCATTATTGTAAATTGGTTGTGCTCAAGGTTTATGGTTGCGTGATTTTTGTGTTTCTTGATATTGTTGAAAATTTATACAAATGCTGCTGATGTGGCCACAACTTTGGTTGCATACACTTCCAAAACCTTGTTGTGGGTGAAAGCACAGTTGCGGACCGTGTTTTCAAATGTTGGTCAGGCGTATATATGGTTTAGCCTTGTAAATTATATGTTAATAAGCTGTTATAAGGTTAGAAAACATCATCAAAATGTATGAGTGCATCATATTTTTGATGTTTAAATATCCCTCAATCCTGTGTTTCCCTTAGAGTGCCATTCACTGCAATAATCCTAAGAAACTCGTGCATTTATGTGATAGTGAAATGTTTGGCTTTAGGCATATAAGGATAACTTCTTGATGATATTGGAATTATATTTGACTCCCTATATAGTAAAACTCAGGTGCCTTATATTTTGATTATTTTTAGGTCCCTGAAGTTTTTTATTTTGCCCTAAAAGCAGTACTGCATCCAGTAGATCCATTGTTTGATTATAAAAGACATGGTTTAACAGATCGATGTGTGAGGGCATTAAGAAGAATATTTATTCTCTGTGATCATGACTTGGACGGTGCTCTCAATGATGAAGAACTAAATGAGTTTCAGGTTTTTGATAAATTACCCTCCCAGCCTTTTTTAGTTTGAATATACTCTGAATATTAAGTTTGTTTTATCCCCTTTAGTTTTGATAATTCATATATCACCAGGTTAAATGCTTCAATGCAGCATTGCAGCCACCTGAAATAGAAAAGGTCAAAACAATTGTAGAGCAGAAAGTACCTGACGGAGTCAACTCTATTGGTCTTACCTTTCCAGGCTTTATTTATGTCCATAATATGTTTCTAAAGAAAGGGCGAACAGAGTCATTGTGGGTTGTTCTAAGAAAGTTTGGATATGATAATGATTTAAAACTCAGGGATGATTTCCTTCCAGTTCCATCTGTGAATGCTTCTGATCAGGTCACACTTTTTTCCTCTCTTGGTTTTGGCTGTTTATGAAATTCCATTTTGATCTTGTTTGATATAATTGGAAGAGATTAGAGTACTGGGTCAACCATTCAATTGTTATAATCTCTACACTTTAACAGACAATTTGTGTCGTTTTTAAATGAGGAAAACTAATATATTACTTATGAGTTGTACTTGTTCATGTAATATTAACCATTAATTACTAATTCTGTGTCTTCTCAATGTTAATGATTGCCTAAAACCAAACAAGTAGGAAATGTTAGCAGACAGATGTCAACTATGCCGTTCACTAGGATTGGTGATTACCCAGAATCTAGATTTTATTTTTCTTCTAAAAAATAACTCTTATGTGTTGTGTGGTTATTCATTTACCAGACTCCAAATATTTCCTTTTGTATAAGTGTATGGCAGTTTGGACTGTAATTAGTTTAAAGCTAGTACTTGACATTATAATATTATTCCTTTTTGCTCATTTTTTAATTGAATAGGGGATGCGGATATTTGAGTTATAGTTTAGTGATGTATCCTTGTTCAATCAAATGATCATTTTCATAGAATCGCCAATTGCTCTTTTTACCAAGCATTGCACATCCTCTTGTTTTTGGGCATTAAGTCAGTACAAACATTTTTGCAAAGGTGTTCTCTATGATTGCTATATAACTTGCAAATGATATGTAAGAACTTACTTTCTTAGACATTATCAAGCAGAGTGTGGAGCTGACAAGTGAAGCTGTAGATTTTCTGAATGGTATCTTTCGATTTTTTGATACAGATAAAGTATGTATAACTTCTTTGGATTATCTTGACCACTACTATGTTCTTTAAACACCCCTTTAGGTGGATTTCCATGCATAAAGCAACATACTCTTATAATTTTCTGCTTGGAAACCTGATACTTTTCTAGGATCGATTCCTGCAACCTGCTGAAGTTGATAAGCTATTTGATACTGCTCCAGAAAGGTGACCTTTTTCATTACTCGTCCCTTAAAAGTAGTATAATCTAATTTTATGTTTATTCTGCATAATTGTAATTTCTTACGTTGATGAAGTAGTCTAGAACTTGCTAACTACCTCTAACAGCTTGACCTATTGCTTCCGTAGTTAGAGGAGTGCTCTCGATAACTTCTACGTTCAAAACTCAGTAACATATTGATAGGACCCTTGAGGACATAATAATTTGCAAACTTAGTTTAGCAGCAGAATAATAGTTATTACACTATTATATACGTGGGTAAGGGAAGTTATGGAATTGGTTAGATAAGTTGAGTTGTAAGAGCAAGGAATGGGCTTAGCTTAAATAGTAGGAGGCAGGAGAGAGATCCTTTCTTAATTTTAACATTAAGGAATCAAGTTGTAGCTCTGTTGTCAAAGGGGAAACTCTTGGAAGGAGAAATCTCCTTTTGTCTATAAGATTCAGCTATTATTGACAGCATCTATTGAACCTTTCCCTCTTCCATACTATCTCTCTGCTCTCCTGATCACGAGTGCATAACACATTCTGCAATAAGAAATTCCTAAATAATATACTGGTTATGCAATCACTGCTAGGGTTTTATTAAATATTGTGTTTCATATATAAATGAATTTCTTCTTGAACTTTCTAATGTTAGCACTTTATATGTGTTGTTTTGGGGGGTTTTGTGCAACTCCATGTTGCGGTTTGTAAATATATTGTTTCATAACTATATCATCACATCAATCTATGTGAGATGGATAGGAATTAACTTTTTACTGGAAGAAAAGGAAGGGGAAAATACGTTAAGTTAAATATCAAACAAATGGTTTTATAGGTTAAATAACAATGGATGTTTGGATTCAACTAAGTTCTTAGGTTATTGTCACTGTCCATGTCTCCTTGGTTGGTAATATACTCACACAATAATGATTGCAGCTTAGGTCTGGTAAGTTCTCTTTGTCTAATTTCATTGACTATGATTATGCCAGGTTGATTTAGCTTTTATTTTCTCTCATTTGATCCAGTCTATGGGCTTATTAGTGTTTTGTTTATATTAATTGTGAGAAAGGTTTTAAATTGCAGTTTTGTCTTGATCCTCGATGTTGTGGGAAATTGCGGCCATAATTTCAGTTGCAATAACTCTAAAAACCTATATTTTGCAATCAAAATCATAGTCATTGACCTTTTTCAAAACCTTGATTGTGAGTATGGTTGTATCATTTCATACTTGTGTATTTATTACTGCTTGAAAATCTCTCTTACTTGGGGCGAATGAATTGCTTCACTTACTGAGAAATCTGAACATAAATATTGCGATGCATACTCTTTTTAGTTGTGATTACATGAAACCAATTAAGGTAGTATTAAAGTTTAAACCTTTTAAGTGTGATATGTTATTGACAAAATTTTTGTTCTTTTTTCTTGTTTCCCCCAAATAGTGACACGTCATCATACACATGTTGAAATAATCTATAGGTGTCTCATTTTCTACAACTAAAGTTATGCAAATCAAATTTTTACTTTTTTAATTTCAGTCCATGGAACGATGTTCCATTTAAGGATGCGGTAGAGAAAACTGATATGGGCTATATCTCTCTGAATGGATTTCTATCTCAGGTGCTTATTTTATTACTTTCCATTAGTCTTCAATCTTCATCATTGGATAAATCTCCTAAAGGATTTTTTTTTTTTTAAATTCCCAATTCTAATTGTGAGCATTATTCATGCTTGTGGTCCACAATGAATTTTTTCCTTGCTAATATAGTGAACAAATTGTGAGGTTGAGACTTGAGATAGGTTATGTGATAGCAACTGCCATCAACATTATATATATATATATGTGTGTGTGTGTGTGTGTGTGTGATTAATTGAAGAAAGAAAAAAAAAAAAGAAACAAGAGAAGGAGCTCCTAGTTCTGAGAATAATCTCTAGTCCTGACAATTCCGTTAGTATTCACATACTCCCTCACAAGAAAATTTTTCTTTCTTTAGCTAACTTGCTCCCGACCTCATCTATGGTTTGTTTTGTAATAATGGGCCTAACTAATCTTAGCCTTACATGTATATACTTGAAGGAGTTTAGCAGCTTTTGTAATTGGGATTTGGTTCCTATCAATTCCACCTTCCATAAATTCTGTCTTGTCCTCAAGGTAAAAGGTAGCAAACTTCTCCTTGATTCCCTTTGCTTCTCCCAAGTAGATTTCTTCAAATGGTTGAGTCTTCCAAAGTATGAGCCATTCAGTGACAACCTTGCCATTACACACTTACATTAGATGCTAGAACTTCTTCCGGAACAGTTGGATTTGTGTCTTCAACCTCCATCTTAGGGGGCATTGTGACTTCTACTGGTTTATTGTGATGAGATTACTTGAGCTGGGATAGGTGGAATACATGATGAACTTTTGGCTGCATTTGGTAATTGTGGGCTACAATTTGGAAAGGACCAATGACATGTCACTTGTTTACAAAAAAATGTGCATCTTTCTTTGTAGTTTGTTGAGCTCTTTGTAGATGTTACTTCAACTGACACAAGGCATCACCTCTATCAACTAAAACATGTGCCACTGACTCAACTAAGGCTTCCCCATTCAAATACCTTATGACAGTTGATGGGGGCCTACTATACATGATTTCAAATGGGGTTTTCCAATTGTTGTATGGTATATGTATTATAACAAAAATCAGCCCATGACAATTACTTGAGAAAACTTATTTAGGGTTTGATGTTTGGTCACTGATACATTGTATTTATAGAAAAAGGGACAACAGAGAGGATATGGGCCTTAGCCCAAAGATACATAAACAACAGATCTCAACATTCTCCCTCAAGCTGGAGCATACAAATTGTATGTACCAAGTTTGGAACAAATGAATTGAATCCCAAGTCCTCTTAAGGATTTAATTAAAATATCTATCAGTTGCTCATTGAAGCTTACAAATTCAGTTAAAAGTTTCTTAGACAACAATTTCTCTCTAACAAAATGACAATCAATCTCAATATGTTTTGTTCTTTCGTGAAAGACTGGGTTGGAGGCAATATAGAGAGCTGCTTGATTATCACACAATAACTTCATTTGCCCAATATCATAAAATTTTAAATTTTGAAGGAGTTGTTTGGTCTACACAAGTTCACAAGTAGCAAGTGACATAGATCTATACTCAGCTTCTGCACTAGATCGAGTAATAACATTTTGCTTTTTACTCTTTCAAGAAATCAAATTTCCTCCAATAAAGATACAATACCCAATAGTCGATCTTCTATTAATTGGACAACTAGCCCAGTCTGTATCACAATAACCACGAATTTGAATAATACCTTTATCTTCATATAACAACCCTTGTCCTAGGACCCCTTTAATATATCTCAGAATGCGAATTAAGGCATCCCAGTGATCAACACAAGGATTTTGCATGAATTGGAACTACAACTGCATAAGTAAGATCCGTTCTGGTAATAGTAAGATAAATGAGTTTACCAACCAACCTCCTATATTTTTCTGGATCTAACAACTTTTCTCCTTCATCAATTTTTGGTTAGGGTCCATTGGGGTATCAATGAACTTACAATTTGTTAGACTAGTCTCCTTTAGAATATCAAGAGCATACTTCCTTTGAGAGATGATCACACCTTCCTTTGACTGGGCCACTTCAATACCAAGAAAATATTTCAATTTACCAAGATCTTTGGTTTGGAAGTGAGCAAACAGATGATTCTTCAGTTGGCTGATCTTAGTATAATCATTGCCTGTAATAAAAATATCATCAACATAAACCATAAGATACACCCACTTGCCTGAAGAGAAATGACAATAAAACATTGAGTGGTTTGCTTCACTCCTTGTCATGCCAAACAACTGCACAACATGACTGAATTTTCCAAACCAAGTGATGTGAACATGACCTATGATAAGGGCTAGAGCAAGGGAAGCAAATGAAGTTCTTCAACAAGTATTGTTGGTTGACCAAATTGTGTTTTGGATTAATCAATTAATGGGCTTTAATTTAGTTTTATTGCAAGTTGTAATAAGGACCCAATTGAAAATTTAGTTATCAGTCTTTGGGATACCAAGAGGGTGCATAGCTGATTGATTTTTGGATGCCACAATTTCAGTTACAATCAATCCTTAAGTAGTTTTCAATTCCTAGGTTAATAAATCATTATTAGCATTTATTTTCCTTTAATGAATATTTGTAACTCTGATGACAAAACTTCTTTATAAGCTGAACCATTTTTATCAGAAATAACAAGTTGAGTTTTATTTTTAGAAATATTAGAGTTTATCTCTTTTATCTTAGTGAGAGTGATTCTCCTAAGTTCTTGAGTGATTCAAGAACATTTGGCTGTATCAAAGGACTTTCACATCCTTTGTGTGTTGCCTTCCTTGGAAAGAGTGATTCTTTCCTTCCACCTTATCATTAAATTCCTAAATTTCCTACAAGGTTCTAATCTTAAAGATCCTAAATCACCCCTTGGTCTCCCAAAGGCTGATGACTAAATTTTCAATTGGACCCTTAATACAAGTTAAAACAAAATCAAACTAAAGCTCATTAATTAATTAATTCAAACATAATTTGGTCAACCAACAATATTTGTTGAAGAACTTCCTTTATTTCCCTTGCTTTAGTCCTTATCATAGGTCATGTTCACATCATTCTCTCCCTCTTGAAAATTTTACATTCAATTTGTCAGACTTATTTATGTTTGAATAAAGAGATTAGGGTTTAGGGTCCCCTTGTGATTCATATCACCAAGCTCGGGGTGACTGCTTCAAGCCATAAAGAGATTGGTGTAACTTGCACACTAAACCAAACTGTCCCTAAGCAACAAAGACAGGAGGTTGCTTCATATAAGTATCTTCCTCAAGGTCATCATGAAGAAAGACATTTTTAATGTCCAGTTGGTGAAGGGGCCAATGACGAATCGCAACCATGGCAAGGAAAAGACGAATAGTGGAAATCTTAGCTACTGGAGAGAATGTATCACAGTAGTCGAGGCCATAAAATTGAGTGTAGTCTTTAGCTACTAAACGAGCTTTAAGACTGTTGAATATAGGGAAAAACTGTATAGGGTTAATTTCCCTTGTGTATTTACCACACATAGGGCAGTGTATTTATAATAAAGAAAGGTACTCCTCAAAAGAGTAACAGAATACAAATAGGGTAAATAAAAAGATATTATTTGATATTGTGATTAACAATATCTAACAATATCTCAACAATATCAAATAATATCAACTAATATCTAATCATATCTAACACTCCCCCTCAAGCTGGAGCATACAAATCGTATGTGCCTAGCTTGGTACAAAGATAATCCATCCTAGGTCCCCGTAAAGACTTAGTGAAAATATCTCGCTAATTGATCACATGAGTTAACGAACTCAGTCTTGATGTCTCCAGACATAATCTTTTCCGAATAAAATGGCAGATCAATCTCAATGTGTTTAGTCCTCTCATGAAAGACAGGATTAGAGCTTATATGGAGAGCAGCCTGATTGTCACACACTAGTGTCATTTGAGTGACATCTCCAAATTGTAGCTCTTTAAGCAATTGCTTGAGCCAAATAAGTTCACAGGTAGCCGAGGCCATAGCTCTATACTCGCTTCGCACCTGGATCTTGCCACAACACTTTGTTTCTTACTTTTCCATGAGATCAAGTTACCACCAATGGAAACACAATACCCGAGATGTAGATCTTCTATCGGAGGGAGATCCTGCCCAATCAGCATCCGAATAGCGGACAACTCTTGTATGATTATGGGAGTCATACACCAAACCTTTTCCAGGAGACTTTTTGATGTAATTTAATATACGGATGACCGCATTCCAATGATCTTGACAAGGAGAATTGAGGAATTGACTCACCACACCGACCGCAAAGGAAATGTCGAGGCGAGTAACTCGTAAGATAATTTAATTTTCCAACTAATCTTCTATACTCGTTCGGGATTTGACATTGGCTCCCCCGATTTGGCAAGAGTTTGGTATTAGGATCCATGGGTGTGTCAACAGGCTTTGAATTCATCAACCCAGCTTTCCTCCAGAATATCCAATGCATACTTTCTTTGAGATATAACAATGCCATCGATAGATTGTGCTACCTCAATACCCAAGAAATATCCGAGTTTGCCAAGATCTTTGGTTTGAAAATGGTGGCAAAGGTGTTGTTTCATCCGAGAGATGCCATGATGGTCACTACCTGTAAGAACAATGTCATCGACATACACTATCAAATAGATACATCCAAGCATTCGAGTGACTGGTAAAAGACCGAGTGGTCCGCCTCACTTCTAGTCATGCCAAATTGTTGAACAACGTCGCTAAATTTTCCAAACCAGGCCCTAGGAGACCGTTTTAGGCCATATAAAGATTTGCGAAGACGACATACCAATCCGGAAGACTCCCCGAGCAACAAATCCGGAGGTTGCTCCATATAAATCTCTTCTTGCAAATCGCCGTTCAAGAAAGCATTTTTGACATCCAGTTGATAAAGAGGCCATTGTTGAATAGCAGACCATGGCAATGAATAAACGAACGAAGCCATCTTTGCCACTCGGAGAGAAAGTATCACCATAATCCAACCCAAAAATTTGGGTATAGCCTTTGGCTACAAGGCGAGCTTTGAGGCGATCAATAGTACCATCAGGACCAACCTTGATAGCGAAGACCCACCCGCAACCAACAACAGATTTTCTAGATGGTAATGGGACAAGCGTCCGGGTTCCACTAGTCCGAAGAGCACCGAGTTCATCTAGCATGGCCCGACGCCAACCAGGGTGGGCTAAGGCTTCGAGAGACGATTTAGGAATAGACACGGAAGAAATAGACGAGAGACAGGTATAAAATGGTGAAGAAATTCGATGATAACTTAAAGCAGTATAATGTGGAGAAGGATTACGAGTAGAACGTGTACCTTTACGAAGGGCAATAGGAAGGTCGGACTCGTGGACTGAACCGGAGGAGGCAGAGTATTTGGCACCGGGAGTGAGTCATGTGGCGTCTGTTGTGGGCGAGGTCTCGCGACTATAAACCTGAAGGGGTGGTGGAGGAGGAGGGGCTAATGGTGGATGGTCCTCAACATAAGGATCAATGAGAACAGGAATAGGAACTGTAGCGAGATGGAGACTCAGCAGGTAGGGAAGGGTCCTTAAAGTAAAAGGAAAACTCATTGAAGGTGACATCGTGCAGACACAAAATAGCGATTAAGAGAAGGAGAAAAACACTTGTATCCTTTTTGGGATCGAGTAAATCCTAAGAAAACACATTTGTGTGATCGAGGAGATAACTTATCATGACCAGGATCAAAATTGTGGACAAAACAGGTAGACCCAAA